GCTTAAAGTTGCCAAGGTTGGACAACCCTGATCTAAGGGAACATCTGTTGCCGGTCACATCTACCCGACCCATTAAAGTGGGGAGGCAGAGAATGGTGCAGGTCCCACTCCCGAGAGAGATACACCTGGTGGGACTCCAAAGATGTTGAGATCTTGTGGAGTGAATCCCACCCCCCAGTTTCGACCCCTGGTTTGGAGCTTCAGCCTTTTAAGAAGTAACTTGCTGTGAGAAAGAGAAGAAGACGTGGGGACAGGGCTGAGGCCAAAATAGATGAAGAACGGTTGCAGCAACCATGCCTGGCTAGTCTAGGGAAGAGAAGGACCAGGGGAGACAGGAGAGCAGCCTACCAAGATTTGAGGGGCTGCCGCAATGAAGAGGGAATCCACCTATTTTCCAAAGCACAAAAAGAAGCAACGGATGGAAACTAACCAAGGAGAGGGGCAGTCTAGAACTAAAAAACACAGACTATAAAAAAAAGATGTTGAGACTTGCCAGGCGAAGCTGTTTGAAAGGGTTTCTTGCCCACCGCAGCTGTTTACTAATTACATCCTCCCCGACCGTTCAGATCCCTGAGTAACACTTCCTTCAGGAAAAGATCAAAGGGGCAACAGTACCACTCACCTCCCCCCCCCCCCCAAAGGATCAAGGAAGATGCCCGTCGCTCCCTCCCCCCCTGAGAATCTCCCAGATGTTGTGCAAGCGAATTTACGACTCTGCTTATCCGGGGGAAGAAAAAAAAATATATGGAATGCTGCCCGTCAGAAAGATCCATCCGGGAATTTCCTCACAGACCGCTGACGAACCTTTTGCACGGTTTCCGGGATGGCTTGGATGGAAAGAGTGGGAAAAAGAGACTCAAAAAAGGATGCAAGGAACGAAGCAGGGGCCCACAGGTGAGCAATCCCACGGATTCTCCCTCGGCTCCTCCACAAGAGGAAGACATTATCTTGGCTTCTGAACGTAGCCTTTTTTTAAAGCTTTTAAATGTTGAATCCTGTATTCTAATATTTGAGGGGCTGCCACAAAGAAGGGGAGTGTTAAGCTGTTCTCCAAAGCAGGGGTCTCCAACCTTAACCTTAACCTGTTCTCCAAAGCTTTGCTGTCTGAGGAATTCTGGGAGTTGAAGTCCCCAAGTCTTAACGTTGCCAAGGTTGGAGACCCCTGCTCCAAAGGACCAGAGAGCAGGACAAGAAGCAACAGATAGAAACTGATAAAGAGAGAGAAGCAACCTGGAATTGAGGAGAAACTTCTTCCTAAGAGTGAGGACAATTAACCAGTGGAACAGTGTGCCACTGGAAATTGTGGGTGCTCCCATCACTGGAGGTTTTGAAGAAGAGGCTGGACAGTCACTTGTCTGAAGTGCTACAGGATCTCCTGCTTAATCAGAAGGCTGGACTAAAAGACCTCTAAAGTGCCTTCCAGCTTCTATTCTGATTCTGTCTCTGGCTTCTTACCGAACAGGCTCTGCAAACAGTGATGTCCTGGCCCTTCGTTGGAGGGAGGGGGCTTCTTATCTGCTCTGTGCTACAGGCAGTGTCATTTACGTTCAGAACTGGGTCCTCCATCAGCAGGAAGTAGGGGATATAAATGCAAATTATTGAAGCTTAATTGGAAGGGTGGGTGGAAGTGTGCGAAAGATGAGACAAAAATGGAGCCAGTTGTCCGGCCATCTCCCAAAGGAGCCAGAAGAGCTTCCCTGCCTTAGCTCTGCACGTGATGGGAGGGGACCCCCTTTTCTTTCAAGCTTCAGGGTCAGAAAACATCGGGCATCAGACATGATACAGAACAGAAAAGAGAAAAATAGCTCCCTTAATTGCCAGATTGGGCCAATGTTTCCAATAGCTTAACGGGGAATGAATCTGAAGGCCTGAAAACTTTCCGTTGCAAGACGACGGAAGCAACGACAGGTTTACAGTCTCTACACTTTCTACAGGTCTTCCCTTCTCCCACATTGCTCCCCAAGGCTCAAATCGGCCAGGATTCCCCCAGGGCAGCAAGCTCACACCCATGCAGGGGTCGGATGCTACTGGTTCTACCCAGTTCTAAAGAACCAGTAGCTCTGAAGAGCAGCAGACACAGAACCAGCCCACCTACCCGCCCGCCTGGGCTCTTACCTGTCCTTTATTTCCTGCTTTTTCAACCTCAGTTGCTTTGCGCGGCACAGCTGAGGTTGAAAAAGCAGGAAAGAAGAGCATTTTGTATGGGCAGCGCTTTTCAGCTGTCCAGGAGGCACAGCCTAAGGTTATTTTACACGTGTGAACACTGTGTGTCAGGTGCGCCTGCACGCAAAACGTAATCACTGAACCAGTAGTAACGCCGGTTGAATCCCACCCCTGCACACATGTTGTTCAACTGTCCCAGACAACAATCCTAAGTTGCATTAACAGAGGGCTTCAGTCAAGATCGCATGAGGTACTAGTACCACTCTTACAAAGCCTTAAGTAAGACCTCACCTAGAATACTGCATCCAGTTTTGGTCACCACACTATAAAATAAAGAGATGTTGAGACTCTGGAAAGAGTGCAGAGAAGAGCATCCAGGATGATTAGGGGACTGGAGGCTGAAATATATGATGAACGGTTGCAGGAATTGGGTCTGGCTAGTCTAAAGAAAAGAAGAATTAGGGGTGACATGATAGCAATATTGCAGTATTTGAGGGGCTGCCACAAAGAAGAGGGTGGGTCAAATGATTCTCCAAAGCACCTGAAGGTAAGAGAAGAAACAATGGATGGAAACTGACCAAGGGAAAGAAGCAACCTGGAATTAAAGAGAAACTTCCTAACAGGGAAGACAATTAACCAGTGGAACTGCTTGCCACCATAAGTGCTGGTTGCTCTCATCGCTGGAGGCTTTTAAGAAGAGACTGGAGAACCATTTGTCTGAAATGGCATAAGGCTTCCTACTCGAGCAGGGGGCTGGACTAGAAGACCTCCAAGGCCCCCCCCTTCCAGCTCTATTCGGATTGATTGATTGACAGTGAGGACAATCAAGAGGGGCAACTTCCCCCCTTCACAAGTTGTGGATGCTTCAACACTCCGGGACATGGGGTCTCCTACTCGATCAGGGGGCTGGACTAGAAGACCTCCAAGGCCCCTTCCAGCTTCTATCCTGGGTTGATTCAGCGAGGAGTCGCCCCCTCCCCTTTTAAATCCAGCCGGCTGACGTTGAACATCCTCCCCCCCTTAATGGATCCAACGAAGGCCGGAACCGGCCCAACGGAGGCGGAGAGGGCGGTTTGGCTTCCCTCCTCCAGCCTTTCAGCGGTCTCTGCGCCATCGGCTTCCCGGCAGCCTTGCAGCCGCTGTTGATCGGGGAGAGAGGCGGCATCCGGGCATCCCCACCCCCGCCTCGCAACGGCAGCCCAGGGCCGAAGGAGAAAGGCCGTCCCCAGGCCAAGAGACCCGCCGCGGTCCCCGGGGGAGCCGAGAGGCCGCGCTTGGCCGGCCGGCCGGGCAGGGCACGTGGATTCCCTCATCACCACCACCTCCTCCTCCTCCTCCTTCTCACCCGGGTCGGAGGCGGCGAGCGCTCCCGAGGGTGCGAAGGGCGCCTCGGAAGAAGGAGGGGGCCGCGCGCGCGTTCGCTGGGAAATGAGGAAAAACCGAGGCCCGCCGTCGTCGTCGCCGCCGCCGCCTCACCTCAGGTCGCCCCGCCGGCTTCACAGCTCTTCCTGCCTCTTGAGCGGGCGCCCGCAGGCCCCGCGGCGGCCGACTTCGCGCAGAGCTTGGACCTTCCCGGCCGCCGTGGCAGACGCCGACGCCATCTTGCAGCTGTCCCAACCGGGAAGGGGAGGAGGGGGGAAAAAGAGGGCGCGGGTCAAGGCGGGGCGGCTCGACGTGAGGCGCATGCGCGCGTGGGCGGAGCCGGGCGAGGCTCCGCCTGGCGGGCGTGAAGCGCATGCGCTTTGGCCAGCCCCAGAAGGTCAAAGTGGGGAAAGGGGGCGCCATGATAGGCGTGGCGGAAGGAGAAAAGTCCGGTGTCGCGTCCAAAAGGCTGGGCGTGCCCGGAGGCAAAAAGAGATCCCGCCTGTAGTTTGCGGCTGGTTCCCCCGCCATTGCACACTACTGTTGGGGAAGTTGTGCCTCTCTCTTCCACGTGGAAGAGAGAGTGTTAGTGGCGTATTGTGCTTCGGTATGCGGGCTAATGGGGCCCTCAAGGCCGCACACATCCACTTTCGGGAGCAGGGAAGGCGAGAGTCCTGCTTTCCTCCCCGCGAATTGGTATTTGGGCCCGTTCGCTCCCGCTTCAGCCCGGAGATCGTGAACGGAGCGAGGCCGAGACGCGAAAAATTTGCGCTATTGGGAGGGCTGACAGCGCAAACCGCGCATGCGCAAAAAACCTTCCAGGGCGTCTCCCGATGAGCTGTTCTGAGGTGGGCGGGCATTAGATGGCCGGGTATGAAGTCGCCCTGCAGGGGGCGCTCGCTCGGCAGCCGGGCAAGCCGGCCTCGCTCTATATAGAGAAATGACCCGGGAAAAAGGGCCGCCGGCGCATGCGCGTCTGCGCGAGCCGACGCCAAAGGTGGGGCCGGCCGGCCGCGGCCGCCGACAGGATAGGACTGGGCGCCGCGCGCATGCGCTCCGGGCGGGCTGGCGGCGGAGGGGCATTACAATGGAAGATGAGGAGGTCGCCGAGAGTTGGGAGGAGGCGGCCGACAGCGGAGTGAGTCCCGCCGAACGCCGCCGAGTCCGAGTGGGGCCCCGAGAGGAGGCGGACCCGTCCCGCCGGGTGGGATGGCGAGGTCGGGATGGGGCGGGGGGGGGGGGGGGGGGGGGGCGAGGCATCCCGGGTCGGCCGAGGCTCTTTAGGCCTCTTAAAGGGGCCGCGCCCCCATTTCACCCAACACGTGGTCTCGGAGCCACCGGCTCTCCCTCTGGACCGGGGGAAAGGCTGCGACGCCGGCGGGACAGCCGGGTCCTCCCGGGCTCCGGAGGGACCGCGGCAGAGCCCGATCGCCTCTCGGCCTTCTGCAAGGGAGGGGATTTCCTGCTTTAGCGGGGGAGGGGGGGTTGGACTAGAAGACCTCCAGGGTCCCTTCCTGCTCTGTCATTCTGTATTCTGACAGCGAGCGCCCGAAGGAGGAGGGGGGGGGCTGCCCTCCGCAGCAGAGCAGGGGCCGATCTCCGTCGGGGCCGCTTCCCAAATGGAGAAGCGGCCGCCGGGAGCGGAGTCGAGCCCTTCCGCCTGCGGACGAGGGAGGAGACGGAAGAGCCTCTGTGCCCCGGGGGGGGGGGGGGCTCGTAGCCCCTTGGATCGCTTGTCCTCCTCTGTCCTGTCCTCCCGCAGCTCCGCAATCGGGGCTCAGCCGCCTCCCCGTTGCAGGGATCCCTGGAAGGGGACGGGGTGCCTGCATATCTGCCTGCAGATCCACTGGCAGGGCCCCCGAGGCCCCACTTTCTACGGCATTTTGGAGCCAGGGAGGAAATCCTTGGCTTAGGCAGGGCAGTCCTCGACGTTACGACCCAACCATGGTGCCCCGACCTGGATGTTGTCGAGGGAGGCTTTGGTTTTTGACCCGTTTTACGACCTTCCTTGCCGCAGTTGTTAAGGGAATCTAGCTTGCCCTGTTGACTTGTTGCAAAAGGCGATTGCATCACACTCACACACACACACACAAAAGACACAGCGATTGGCATTAATACGAACCAGTTGTCAATCATCCAAATGAATATCGCGTGACCTGTGGTTGTGGTTCAGCAGTCAGAAGTGTGAAAGATGGTCTGCAAGTCACTGGGTTGTTTTGTTTTTTTTTGGTGCTGTTGTAACTCCCAGCAGTCACTAAAATGAACTGTTGTAAGTCGAGGACTGCCGGCAATGTAAAAGGAGTAACTTCCTGAGAAGCCTCCATTCCAGGCTTCTATGCTGGTTTCTATGCGCCGCCCCTTTGGGGGGCTTCTACCTCTGTGCCCTTTGCAGGTGATATACCTGAGAAGGTATATCTTGCATGGCTTTGGACGGTTGTTTCCTTCTTCCCAGGACTGCAGAGCAGGAGCCAAAAGCACCCCCACCCTCTGCTCACCCTCATCCGTCCTTCCCAGGGAGGGAGGGAGGCTTAGCAATTGTCTGCCAGGACCCCAAAGGGAAGGTGGCTATGTTCCTACAACCCGTCTCTTAGGGATGCAAGCGTTCCTGCCTGCCACTTCCAATTCCTACCCGACCCTTTTGAGTGGACTATGAAGGGCAGAGAAGCCTCTAGAACAGGGGTCTGACACAAACTGGGGTCTCTCTTGTGTATGTGCGCATGTACACGTCGCTGCCTTTCAGACTTCTGGAACCTCTCATGCAGGTTTGACAGTCGCTCCCCATCCTGGTGTCCATTCTCTCCTGGCTAATGGATTTAGTGCCAGGCTTGTTTCCCTTAATAACCCGATGCAATCACCTTGCCTTATCCTTCCTTGCACAATTATTCTCACCGAATGTCGCCGTTGCTTTCTGTAATTTTTTGTGTGACTGTACTTATTTGTTACATTTATGTTGACACACACACCCCTCTCACTCTGTGAATAACTTTGGAGTAAGATGCTGGCTGGCTTGGCTGCTTCTACCAGCCGCAGATCATTTAATGGGGGGAGGGGTGCAGCGGTAGGGAGAATCCATTCTCTGAATGAAATTCAGCAGGGAGAGAGAGGGGGTCCACCCTCGACACAGGAAATGGCGGTGTTCGTACAGGCGGATCTGACCCGAACCCAGAGCCCAATTTTGGCCAATTGTAAAATGAACCACTTGGATAAGATGGGCATCTACCAAGGCGTGTTTGGAGTTCGCTGGAGAAGAAAACTCATTCAGCCCAAGCGAGCTTGCCTTCACTTTCAAAGATTAACTTGCCCTCCAGACTTTGGACTACAAAGCAGAACGCAGTCACACGTCAGTGGGGAAGCTACTAAGGGAAAGCCTCCCTTCTTGCAAAACTAGTGCAGGACGGCCTCCCATCAAGGAAGGGCCACCAGAGCAACTATTTCCTACAGAGCCAGCAGCCCCAAAAAGTAGCCTTGGGTGAGCTGGGACCACGTCTCTGTTCTAGGGACACCCCCCCCCCGCCCTCGGACGCTGTCCTGGCAGAGGGAGAGTTGAGCCGACTGGCCAGGCTGTTGGGCCACCTCTTAGTGGCCTCGCTTGCTTAGAATGAGAGCAATGGTCCCCCAAGTCTCAAGGCGGAGAACTGATTCTCATCTTTCTGGTTAGCGATCTTGAATGATGACGTCCGCCCACTCCCCTCCCCACGGTTTTGACAGTGAGAATGGCCAGGCATGCACTGTGCTCATGATGGTAAGTACGCCACTGGAAGTGGTCTTGGTCAGCAGGGCCAAAGGCGCGCCATCTCCTGGGACTCTAGCCGAGAAGTCCGTCTGATTCTCAGCTGCTGCCAATCGGGGCAACCTGCAACCACCCGGGCTCTAATTTTATCTCGCTTGTTTGCTCAAATGCAAAGCATCAGCAGGCGCAGCTGCTAGGGGATCCGATGCCTGGCAGGAGCCCATTTTGATCCTGGGCTGAGGATAAGGTTCACCCTGGGCTCCCTTCCCAGGGAAGGCCTTGGCTTCCTCCACCTGAAAAGCAAAGGGTTGAGAGGGTCTCTCTGTCTCTCTCTCTCTCTCTCTCATCTTTCCTCCCTTCCCCCCATCTTCCCTCCTCTCTATCCCTCCCCCCCCCCCCCTCTCTCTATCTCTATCTATCTATCTACTCTGTTTGTCTGTCTATCTATAGCTATCTATCTCTATATCTATTTATCTATATCTATCATCTCTTCTCTCCCTCCCTCTTCCCCCCTCTCATCTCTCCCCCTCTCTCTCATCTCTCCTTCTCTTGCCCCCTCTTCTCCCCCTCCTATCTCCCCACCTCTCTCTCCCTTCCTCTCTCTCTCTCTCATTCTCTCTCTGTGGAACCTCTTGATGCTTCAAAGACGAATTAGCAACGGATGGCGAGACGGTGGCATTGTCTTGCCGGGGAAAGGGAGGGCCCGGCTTGCCGCTTGGTACTGCCAGGTGTCTGACCCCAGAGGGATGGAACGTGACCCACTTGACGTTGCCTTGCAGGAAATAGACAGACGACTGGAGAAGAAGCTGAAGATCAGCCAAAAAGAAAGGTGAGACTGTTTAGAATCATTCGGTAGCGTTCTCCTCTGGGAGGGGGCTGGGAAAATCAGAGTGGCGTTCCTATTTTTGTTTTTAAAGAATCTTATCTCGAACCTCCAAGCCCTGTTTCTGCTGATTTAGTCAGAAAATCTTGATCGGCAACCAAGAGAATAAGCCTTGGCCTGGTGCCTTGCGTTTTCGGTGATGAGGCAGAGGCTCTTAGTTCAAAGCAGGGGTCTCCAACCTTGGCCACTTTTAAGTTTGGTGGACTTCAACTCCCAGAATTCCTCAGCCAGCTTTGCTCTGGGAGTAGGAAGTCCACAAGGCTTAAAGTGGCCATGGTTGGAGACCCCTGGTTCTAAGGGCTGGTGTGTGTGTGTGTGTGTGTGTTGGCCAACAGCATTAAAATATTGTCTCCCCCTCTGCTTCCTTACAGCAGGAAATCCAAGTCCCCCCCCAAAGTGCCGATTGTAATTCAGGACGACAGTCTTCCTTCGGGCCCGCCTCCGCAGATCCGGATCTTAAAGCGGCCCACGAGCAACGGGGTGCTCACCAACCCCAACTCCACCAGCCGACCTGCCTTCCCCGTGAAGACCCTGGCCCAGAGGGAGGCCGAATACGCAGAGGCCCGGAAGCGGATTCTGGGCAGCGCTAGCCCGGAAGAGGAGCAAGAAAAGCCCATCCTTGACAGGTAAGGGAGTCCTGGCGCTGCTGCCACCGCCCGATTTCTTTGCCCTGCTCTCCTTCTGACCTCTGGGTCTCTGCTGCCCTGAGGCCAAGATCCTGTCCATGCCAGAAGATGAGGATGTAGGGCCTGCCAGCTCAGGCTTTTGTCCCATTGGGGGAAGAGGGGAGAGAAGCGTACGGTCAACTCATAAAACACCCCTATGCCCGTTTTAGTAGTTGCCATAAAAAAAAAGTGGGGGCAGAGGAAGGAAATCTGGAAAAGCAGTGCAGCATTTGAAAGCGAAAGTACATTCCAACTCTTCTCTTTAAAAGAATGCAGCTCAACTACCAGAGCTTTTGCCAGCAAATATCTTTAATTGGAAAAGGTGATTGATGACACCCAGCCTGTGAAGGTGCTCAATTGGTTTATGAGACACCCGGGGGGAAGGGGGGAAACAGGGTCACAGGGGACTGTAAATGACGTGTGCCAGAGGTGGCTTCATACAGGGCCAGTATGTTGCCTCTAAGGAATCCTTTGGAGTTTTTTGAAGTTTGGCTCGAGAATCCTGATTTAACTAGAGCGACTGCTGGAATCCTGACCCATGCTCAGAAAGCCACTTCGAGGGTCAGTCTTCAGTCTGAGGGGATTGGTTTCCCAAAGGAGGATCTCGTCCCGGGCCTCCTTGGGTCTGGACCACCAATCCTTTTCTTCGGAAATCTGGGCCTCATCCCTCCTTCGGAGCCCCCTGGGGGGAGCTTTTAGCTGGACTGAGTGTTCTTCCCCTTCCTTCCCCCAGGCCCACAAGGATCTCCCAGCCAGAAGACTCCAGGCAGCCCAGCAATGTGATCCGGCAGCCGTTGGGCCCCGACGGTTCGCAGGGCTTCAAGCAACGCAGATAGGCTTGGCCGGCTGACCAGCTGCAATGAAAGCAGGGTGCTCCCCCTCCTCAGCAGGCCAATGGACCTGAGCCACAGGGGCGGGACTTGCTCTAAGCGTCCTCTAGGCTTTTTGCCTCTGGTGACCCTCAGCACTGGGACCCCTGCTAGAATCGACATGCCAAGGAGGGCCCACCGAGGGAGGAGCCGGCAGCGGGGCAGGCTTCTCTTCCGGGCGACCGGCTTGCTGCAACTCGCTGCCTGCTGAAGCGAGCGTCCGGTCCCGGCAAAGGAATGACTTTCTCCCGCTGGGATCTCCCTCCGGGATCGGAAGCGAGAGGCAGGGGTGGGCTTCTACCTCTCAACATGTGCATGTCGGTGCGCGTTACGTTTGGAGCAAGGTACAGACGGGGGCGGGGGGGCGGAAGGTTGGATCCGCAAAGGTTGGATCCTTTGCCTTGGGGGGCGGGATGGCTTCGTGCATGGGAAGAAGGAGGAGAAGGAGAAG